GGGGTGGGCTGGGCAGAGGTGGGGTAGGCACCCTCTGCTCAAGGACTAATGGCTGTGGGGCTGTGTCACCACTGGAGCTCTGGACGCTGACCACACACTCGCAGGCAGAAGCCACAATTGGTTGTTGGCCCTCCATTTTGGCCATGGGGGTAGTAGTGTTTTGGGGGGACTTGTCCCTCCGACTTTGGCCCAAGTTGGCCTGAACGCCCTTGTGGGCCTTGTCCAGGGGGCTTGGTCGGGGCCGCCCTTTGATGGACAGCAGTCGCTCCACCACTTCCTCCAGGGTACAAGCCTGTGCTGCATGGAGAAAGTGTGCAGGATCAAGGGAGAGAGCCAGAGATGGGAACAGGGCAGAAGGAGGTTGCCTGCCCACATGGCCAGTCCAATCCAGCCTCTCACCATCACTGGCCAGGAGCACGGCCCGGTTCACCAGGTTCTCTAGGGCCTCCCAGAGCAGCTGGCCCGAGCGGCCAGCAGGCTCCAGGTGTAAGAGGCCTTGTAACACGGACAGCAGCTGGGCTGATGCTGGGGAACAGCTCACCTGTGTCGGCCAAGAAGGGCAGGTAAATGGCTGTCTACTTCCCTGGGCAGGCTGATGCCCACCCACCAGCTCATGTGCTCTTCCATAGCTCCTTTATCTCACTAAAACTCCGGTAATGACTCAGGTAGGCCCTTTGTATTACTGGTGGCACTGGAGACTGTCCCACATGCTTTGGGGTATTAAGTGGCACCTCTGGTCTCTACGTACTCCGTCAACCCCAGATGCATTTAGTGATTGAGACAGGGTGCCATATAAACTCAGCCTCCTGGACTCTCACCTGGGCCTGCAGCTCTCCAAAGTCCGCTGATAATAACTACCTAGCTGAGGCCCGGGATGGCTTGGCCAACTCAGGCAGCCGTGGCCTTTAGAACCTCGTTCTGGCATCTCCATCTGAACCCCATCCCCAGCCTTACTACCCCAACATCTCCAACTATGTTTCTGGCTCTGTGCCTGGCCATGGTGAAGTGGATCCAAGCCCCAGCCAGCCCAGCCCCACCTTGTGGAACAGAGAGGCAAAGACTTCCTGGTGGCTGTTCATGTTGATACCATCACAGACACGTTGCAGCTCCTCCTCATCTTCAGCTTTGGCCTCCTCGAGGCCCGGGATGGCTTGGCCAACTCAGGCAGCCGTGGCCTTTAGAACCTCGTTCTGGCATCTCCATCTGAACCTCATGCCTAGCCTTACTACCCCAACATCTCCAACTATGTTTCTGGCTCTGTGCCTGGCCATGGTGAAGTGGATCCAAGCCCCAGCCAGCCCAGCCCCACCTTGTGGAACAGAGAGGCGAAGACTTCCTGGTGGCTGTTCATGTTGACACCATCACAGACACGTTGCAGCTCCTCCTCATCTTCAGCTTTGGCCTCCTCAAAGGCCTCTAGCTGGATCAGCAGGTCGGCATCCTCTAGGTCCCTACGTGGTGAGGACAGACGGCTGAGATGTTGTCCTTATCAGATGACATCTCTTCACAGATCAGGCTTCATGGAGCTGCCTCTGCTTGGCCCAGCTGAGGACACTGGGCAGTGTTCCTGGAGAGGCCCAGGCTGGCTTGGTGGCAAGCCTGTGGCAGTAACAAGGCTGGCAACCATGAGTGGTGGCTCACAGCTCTGAGCCTCCTGCCCTGCCAGGCTACCCAAGGGTTCCCTGGGCATCTTTGGGGATGGGGAAGGGCAGGCTCTCCTGAGGGGTATGAGATGTGGCTGGGTCCTCTCTTGGGGGCTGGAAGAGTATAGCCAAGAGATGCCACCTGAAGCAGGACACCATGACCAGGGCACAAGAGCAGCAGGGCTTGGCCTGAGCTGGATGCTAAGAATGCACTGGGGCCAGGCTTTGCTGTCATCTCAGCCTGGCCACTAAGTGGTCCCCTTGCAGGCAAGACAGTCCCCTCCCTGCAGGCCTGGGGACAGGTCCCCCTAGTAGAGCTTTGCTCTGGGCTAGTTCCACAATAGTGGAGCTAGCAGGGCTCCTCATGCTGACCCCAGTGGGGCCCTCAGGTGTAAGCTCCAGGATGCCCGTCACAGCTGAGTTTCAAAGCAAAGATAAGCAACTATCACTACAAGAATGTGGCATGTGACGGCTGTGGCACGTTGTGTACCTGAATCTTGAGTTGAATGGAGTTCCTTTAATAACCTGGTTCCTATGGACAGTGCCCAGGACATGGGATAGCCTCAGACTCCAAGGAAGGTGGGCCTGGTTTGGGGAGGGGACAGCAGACAGGTCAAAACACAAGGACTCACCGCAGCCGGGTCAGAATGTCCAGCAGCTGGAGCCCTAAGAAGAGAGGGAACAGGTTAGAGTCTGAAGGCTGTCTCTGGCCTCCCCTGCCTCCTGCTCCTGGGCATGTGTATCCTGGGTCTGACTCCTTCACCTCCCTTCTCCCTGGTGTAGTCCCACCCTAGGGTCTTAAAGCTCCAGAGGGGACTTGTGGTGGTGTTGTTCAGTGTTCCCTTCCTGAAGGAACAGAGCTGGAATTGAGATCAGCCCACCTGTCTGCCTGTAGCACCCAGCCACCTTCAAAACAGAACCCTCAGCTCTAATGGCCTGTCTACCACAGGAGCATATGGTGGTAGGGCTCCCAGACCCTGGGACAGTGCCTTCCTTTGGGGTCCCTGAAGACGTGGGGTAGGGGCAGGACTTTCTGTGGTCCCGCCTCCTCAGGGGATATGGCATGGGCTGGGCTGGCTCAGCAGGAACTTTTTGGGGTCTTTCAGATGCCTGAGGGTGCTCAGAGTAAAGGGGTGCTGGTGGCCTTACCAATGAATTCACTCCGAAGCTGGGCACGAGTGCGGAGATCCTCGGGGCCCAGGATGATGGCATTGATCACGCTGAGCAGGGTGACCACATAGGGCACGTTGTCGCTGTCGGAGAGCTCATTCATGATGACGCTGAAGCGGTACTGCTGGCTGCACACCGTCTGAAGGATGGGTGGGGTCAGGGTGTGCCGACGGGATTCTGTGCTGCTGACCCAGGTTCCCACCGCTCACCTTGTAATGGTCCAGGGCATCTAGTGTCAGTGCGTGGCCCTCAGGTGAATAGATGCACAGGGCAGCCAGCAGCTCAAACACCTGCTTCTTGACCATCACATTGGACGTGTCCAGAGCTGTGGAGGATCGGGAGACTCTCAGCAGGCCCACTGTCCATCCTCCCCACCGAGTCTTTGACCTGCGAGCTGAACCCAGCCTTGGGTGTCAGCTCTTGCTGAATTCCCAGGCCCAGGCTCTCCATGCTGATCTCTCCTGCTGTCCTCACCCTGCCTCCTAGGCTTCAGAATCAGATCCTTTCAGAGGAAGGCTTGGAAGCAGGGACAGTGCCTGGAGTCTGCAGAGCCCAGTCCCTGCAGCTGGCTCTAGGCTCAGTTTTCTCTGAACCTGAATTATGTTCCTGACAGTGTGGGATACTTCTTCATCCCTGTGAACCCTTGCCTCCTCCATCCTGAGCTAGGGCAGTTTGGGGGTGATTCTCATTTGGCTATTCTGAGAACAGGCCACAATGGACATGATAGAGGGGCACAGCTAGGTCCAGATTCGGGCAGCAGGCTGAGATTAGTGTGGGTCCCAGGTTACAAAGATGTGGCAGCCTCCGGTTTGCTTGTGAACACTGGCACCTGCCCTTCTCTACAGACCCCACCCCACCAGTCACTGCCTGCCCCCAGAAGGTCTAGGAGCCTCAGTGGGAACTGGGTGCTTCCCTGGAGGGTTGTACAGAGACTACTGTCCACCACGGTTCTCTTGCAAGGCTTCAGGACTAACTGGCTACAGCCTGAGAAGACTTTCTTCAGGAGCTACAGGAAGCCAGAGGATAAAGCAGGTCTGGGGGTGTGCAAAGGCAGAATGCAGGAGGCATGGCTGGGGTGGCCTACTGAGAACAGAGAGGTCCTCTAGGTGTGGGAACAGAGGACCAGTGAGGGGTGGGAACCAGGAAAGGTGGTAGGAGGCAGAAGGCAACGCCCTCCTGGTCTAGCTGGGCTGGGATTGCAGGGCTTGGAGTCAGGCGGTGTGAGTATGTGGGGTGCTGTGTTCTGTGGAGCAATGCCTGGAGGCCAGAGGCTGGTGGAGCCAGCACAAGGCTGGTGGAGCCACAGTACTGAGGAGACAACTACAGTCAGCTGATGGAACTTAGGCAGCCTAGACGCTTCAGAATGGGGTGGGTGGTCTCTGCCCTTCCCTAGGGGACCCTCCTGTTGGCTGCTTAAGCATCTGCTCCTGATCCCCCAGATCTCCCGGCCCTCACACAAAAGCCTCCAGCTTACCCTGGGAGAGCTGGCGCACATAGCCCTGGTTGCTGAGAATGTACTCTATGCCCTGCTGTGAGTTCATGACGGCACGCACGCAGCTGATACAGGTAAGCTGTAGCAGGGCATCCGAGATGCGGGCCACACCACGCCCGGACAGCCGCGCCAGTGCCTCTAGCAGCAGGTCCAGGCCACTCTGCTCCAGGAACTGCACCATCCAGCCACCATCACTGCTCTCCAGGCGCTTTCGCAGGCCAGAGTAGTTGACCACAGAGGGCATCTGCAGCAGCCGGATGCACAGCTCTGGCTCTGCGCTCTCCAGGTTGGCTTCAGTGGGGTCAGAGTCCTGAGGCCCCAGCTTCTCCTTCAGCGCCGCCCACTTGCGCTGTGCACCCTCCTTCACCGACATCTTGCCGAACTGCAGGACCAGAGGGGGAGAAGTCATCAGCCTGGACAGGAGATGGAATGACCCCTGGGTTGAGAGCTTGGGCATACACAAAGGCACTGTCTGCTGCCTCCATTTCTCTGTTGGGCTTCCTGCTTGCAGCCTGACAGCTACCCCATACTGACAAGCTGGATTGAGCACTTTGCTTCTGACCCTGACAAGAACTCCCCTTGTCCCATCTGGACTGAAGGACAGACAGGAAGGTCCCATCATGTGTTCAAGAACTCTGAGGCTAAGACCAGTGAGAAACAGCTAGATTAGAGACCTGTGCCTGGGCATGGAGGCAGGACTTGGGCTTGTTCTTACTAGTCCTGGCTAGACTTGGAGAGGCCCAGAGTGGGAAGAGGGTAGCTATACTGGCTGGAATGACATGACACAGTGGTGATGATGCAACTAAACAGAGGAGTCTCTGAGGCTCCTTTATCTGGCTCCAGGCGCTTCCCTACTGCCCACAGCCGCAGGAGGAGGAGGGCCAGGTGACAGGGTGAGGATACCATGATGAGATGCCCATGGCTCAGCTGGGTGGACGGCAGCCTCCTCTGGTCTCAGTTTGTCTGTGATGGGTGTAGGACCCACCCAGAGGGAGAAGTGGGGCCCTCAGCATATCACACCCTTGGTTCATAAGCAACAGGCCTGACTCCAGCCTAGGAAAATGTGCCCTGCACCCTTGTGAGGGGAGCAAGCCCGGCCTAGAACATTCTCTCCAAAGCAGAACTGTAGAGGCCGATTGCACCTCTGTTGTCCCTTCTACTCAACCAGTCTCTCCCTACCCCTGCCTGGGCTCAGCTGGCTGCAATGCTGTCCCCATCACAGCCCCTAGGGACAGCCTCAAAGGTCAGGGACATCAGGCTCCCCTGCAACCATGTAAGGTTGGGATCTTATATTTAGCATCTGAGAAGGGCGGCATGGAGCCGTAGGAGGGAGGTGCAGAGGAGCAGGGCTTGGCGGGACTTGCTCCCAAGGATCACACCCACCCCAAAAGTCCAGTCCCCCACTCTCTACCAGACTCAAAGGCAGGCATTATCATCTGCCAGATAGGTGGGGGATGTAGGCAGCACTAAGGGAGACTAATCTGTGCCCAGGATCTCACTGACCAGACCTCAGCAAGTGTTCTTGGAGTCCACTTAACACTGGGAAGTCAGTGCTCTTTGCTTCAGGTTCTGTTCGGCGTGGTCAGGGAAGGGGAGACCCCCAGGCTGGGTCACCTGAGGCCATCCAGGAGACCACGGCTGAGTGGGGTGGGAGCCCAGGTACCTTCCTAGTGTGGTTCTGGGTCCCAAGTGCCTACTGTCCTCACTCAAGGACCCAGAGCCCCTGCCTGCCCAGCGGCATGTATGGAGCCCCTGCCTGGTTCTCCATTTCCTGCCTGTCCAACTGCCCAAGGCAAATGGGTCTTTCTAGAAGCAACATCCTTCCTAGTGTGGTTCTGGGTCCCAAGTGCCTACTGTCCTCACTCAAGGACTCAGAGCCCCTGTCTGCCCAGCGGCATGTATGGAGCCCCTGCCTGTCCAACTGCCCAAGGCAAATGGGTCTTTCTAGAAGCAACACGGGCTGGGCTTGGCCTAGGGGCCCAATGGCAGATCTCAACTCAGCCCTTCGGCCTGTTTGAGCCTTAGTTTCCTCCTCTTTACCTCTGCCTCAGGCTACTGGCAGCACGGAAGGCTGTGCTGGGGACGTCTGTCCTGCTGGTAGGAGGTGAGGATCCACATCCCGGTGGATCAGCCAGGGGCCTGTGCTGGGCCTTACTGGGTAGGAAATCAAGGTCCTCCCCTGGGTCCGTTTTTACCTACTCCCAGGCCAGGCCCTTTTGGCCACCCAGCCACCGTCCACTTACCCAGATGCGCAAGACCTTCCGGCCGCCTCTGCCCACCCATTCGGGGCCTTGCCTCCAGCTTCTCATCCTTGCCAACAGTGGGCTGCTGGCTGCCAGGCTGGCCCTTGTCCCTGTTGGGCAGCTTTAGACTTCCAAAGGCTCTCTTGGTTGGTGATAGGTGTGGCAGCTCCACCATAGTACAGAGGCGACTGACCAGTCTCTGCACACTTCCTAATTTGTTTGCTACCCAAAGAGGTGCCTGGAGCTGGCCTCCCCTCTCCACCCACTCCTGCCTCCATTGGCCAGAGGCCCTGTCCCCTTGGCACAGGCTGAGTGGCCGGAGTGTGAACTCTGCCGGGCCTGGCCTCTGGCATCTGAAGTCCTCTCTGGCCAGTAGCCCCAGTCTTCCCTGCAGAACCCACCTGACCGTCCTGGAACCTAGGGTCATCAGAGCCACTGTGTCCAGGTCTGGGGTCCCCATACCAGGGTGCCTGCTGGCTTCACGACTGCCCGTCTGACATTGCCCAGTCCTTCTGCCCTGTGTACCCCATACCCAGTGTAGGCTCACACCTTGATGGGAGTCCCCTGGATCCATGTTCTCTGTCCTGGGCAGCTGCATGGGGGGTAGGAAGACTATGTCCGATAGGTCCTGGTGATGACTGTTGTCCACTTGGGACAGCCAGCCTGGCTGGGGACTAGGAGGCCGAAGTGAGGGCCACTTTCTTCCCTCTGGCGTCTGCCAGACTCTCTGCCAGATGACACTGAGTGCAAATGGACTAGAGAGGTCTAGCAGTGCAATGGCACCTGGATGTTGCAGTCCAGCAGCTTTGGCCAGGACATCCAGCTGGGCTCTAATGACTGACAGCCTTCATAATCTGTACCCTTGTGTCTCACATAGGACCAACCAGAGAAAGGCAAATCTCCTAAGCAACAGATGTTCTGCTTCTAGTCAGCCTCCACTGGGCATCCTGGGCCTTCCTTCTTTTCTACAGAAACTATAGAACTCTCTCTCTCATGTCTGCTTTAGAGCTTCTGACAAACAGGGCTGAGGCTGGCCCCCTTACTACAGCAAACTCCCAAGACACGGCCCCTGCCTGCCCCCACAGGAGACCCAGTTTATTGTTCTCAGGAAACATAGGCTGTGAGGGAACAATACTCAGGAAGGTACTGGTACCAAACAAGGCTGGGGGTGAACCTTCACTCCTGGGTTCTTCACATCTGTGTGCCTCTCTGTTCTTATCTGCAAAGTGGGTCGCAGTGAGCTCTATATAGAACGAGAGCCAGTGGATATAGAGTGACCAACAGGGAATACTTGCTGCTGGTTTTTGTTTTGTCACAGGGTCTCACGTACTCTAAACTGGACTCAAACTCATTAAGTATCTGAGGCTGACCTTTAAATTCCTGATCTTCCTTCTTGAAGGGAGACTCTAGGCTGACTAAACCCCAGTGGATGAACTTGCACTGAGGGACATCTGGGGACACTGAGTATACATAATAGGCCTTAATACAAATGACAGAATGCATGAGCTCCCGTTGGGGGTCTATGGGAGGGTGCCAAAGGGGAAGGGGGGTACAAAGATGATTTTATGTATGAAATACACAAAAGTTAAATTTAAAAGTTTATAAAAAATTCCAGATCCTCTTACATCTGCTACTCAAGTGCTAGGATTACAGGCATGTGTCACCACAGCAGGCACGTCCCTTTTCCAGCTCTGCTCAGCCCTGGGGCTGAGTGTCCAACTTCCAGCCTGATCTGGTGGAGACTCAGAGGGCTTTGCCCAAGGCATGGGGGATGGCCTCCTGGGGACGAGCCCTGTACAGGAACACTCTCAGAGCTTTCCCTAGTCAGCACCCTGGGGTGGCAGGGCTGGCTCCACAGCCCAAGCCTGGGCAGATGGGGTCAGGATAGAGACATGTCTCATCTGCCCACACAGTTCCCTCAACACCAATGAGACAGAAGTGGGCAGGGCCTTTGCAGATAAAGTGCCTAGAGCTGGGGTCAGGGCAGCTTGTCCTTTACCCACATGTGATTCTTTCTTTAAAAAATGTATTTAAAAAATATCTTATTAATTATTTTTTATTTTATATGTACGAGTGTATTGCCTGCATGTAGGTAAGTGCACCTGTGTCGTGCAATGCCCTCGGAGGACAGAAGAGGCCATCGGATCCCCTAGAACTGGAGTTACAGACAGTTGTTAGCTGCCATGTGGGTGCTGGGATTGAGTCCGGGTCTTCTGCAAGAACAACCAGTGTTCGTAACCGCTGAGCCATCTCTCCAGCCTCTACCCACACATGATTCTTAAGGGCCACTTTTTCCACAGGCACAGGCCAGGCCTTCCACTTAGACTATTCCTGAAGGCAGGATCTGCCTCAAGGTCTGCGGGGGACCAGCTCAGATCTGAGCACTAAGTGGGCTCCCCAGAGGGGAGAGAATCAGGCCAGCAGAACTCTGGACCACCTTCCAGGAGGATGGCTCTCAGTAAGAGCTGGCTGCCTCTTCTCTAAGCTCATGGCCAGGCTGCCCACACCTCCATCCCACTTGCCTGGGCAGCTGTGCTGACTCACAGAACTCCAGAGGCTTCCACCCCTGCCTGGTATGTGAGCTGAGTGGGGGTGGAGGACCAATTCCACTTACCCAGCCTGCTGTGCAAGGAGAAAGCAAGGCAGAGAGAGTGGCTGGGAGGTCCTGCATGGGTCTCCTGGCACACAGAAGGGGGGCAATGGAGGATTATAGTATTGGGGGACCTGAGTGAACCATCTGACGCCCATACCTCAGCACCCTCATTCCTACATCCAGGAAAACATTAGCTAGAGTTCCAGGAGCCAGAGGGCTCTACAGTGGCTCCACTGGGCCTAGGGCTGCCCCCAAGGAGCAGACCAGGCTTTGCACCTCGGCCCTCGAGAGGTGGAGGCTGCTGTCTATACCCAACTCCTACAGGGACAGCCAGGCGCCTGGTTGGCCAAGGCAGAGGTGGAGGTCTGGGGTAGGTACAGGCCAGGTAGATGGCCCCTGGAGGGGCTGCTGCCTGGGGTGCAGAGGCAGCTCTGAGGGGGCACCCTGCCAGCACCAGTATAGGGGCTGGGGTGCTTCTGGGCCCAGAGCCAGCAGGGGGTGGGGGAGACACAAGGGAGGGAGCTTGTCTTCCATGGGTGGGCGGTA